TGTATAAGGCCTGGGTTGGGGCTCTTCAGATGATTCTGCTGATAAGCAGGCCTGGGGAATTGCTGAGCTGGCCCTGTTGTCTTATATAGGTGGCCACATGCATGCTCTGGGCCAGCATCCTTTGCAGTTTCCCCAGTGGTCTCCTTGCTGTACTCTCATCGCTTTAATGAGTCTGTGCATAGCAACTAGAGGGGTCTTTAAACATGCAAATACAATTTTACTAGTGCAGTGCCTTTCTGTGGCATGTAAGTCAGAATTTCAGCCATTTAGCTAGTCTGCAAGGTTGGACAGGATTTGGCTCCTGCCTCAAGGCTTTTCTGATCTCATCTTCCATTTTGCTTCCTGCTCTTTTCCACAGCTGCAGTGGCCTTTTTGTTCTTCCTCCAGAGCCTCTGGCTGTTTCCTGCCTCAGGGCCTTTGTACCTGCTGTTCTCTGTGCCTGAGTGCTTTCCAAGATTTCTGCCCACCCTTGACCTCACTGCATTCAGGGATTTGCTGATAGATTACCCCCTTCAGTCTTCCTGACTGCTTACCTTCTCCTGCCTCTGCCTGTCAGTCCTAGCCCCCAACCCACCTTTATTCTTTATTGCACCTACCACTAGCTAAAGTGGTATTATTTTTCCCTTTTTTTAAAAGGTTATTTTTATTTATCTGAAAGCCAACCACTGTGGTGAGAGAGAGATTGATTGATTGATTGATTTTCCATTTGCTGGTTTACTCCTCAAATATTTAAATTGGCCAGGGCTGCAGCAGGCCAAAGCCAAGATACAGGAATTCCATCCAGGTCTCCCATGTGGGTGGCAAGGACCTACATACTTGGGCCATGACCTGTTGCTTCTCAATCACATTAGCAGGAAGCTGGATTGGAAGCAGAGGTGGGACTCAGTCCCAGGCACTCCAGGATGTGGGCTTCCTAGGTGGACACTTTATCTATGGTACCACCATGCCCACCCCCATATTTTTTTCTAACACCTCACTGAAATGCAGAATCCATGAGAGCTGACACTTTGTATTGTTATTACTTTCTCCCTACTCCAAGAGTGTTGTGTGACATTTGACTGAACTCACTAATTTGTGGCATGAAGGAAATACACATCTCCCGATGCAATGTCTGACATAAGGATTTGTCTACCTCTGCTTAACCCAGTGATAATGCTGGCCATCTCAAGGAACTTATTCTGTATTGAGACAATTCTGATAGTTAGGCTGTTCTTCCATCAACTCAAAAACGAAGTTTCTTCTTCGTCCTGGCTCAGTAGCCCTGCTAGTGAGTTGGGGTAGTAGTCAGTGCTCCATGTGTATGCATCCCGTGCAGTGTCCTTAAGGGAGCTGGTGTGGGTGCTGTGCTTGCCTCCCACATCCTGCTCTTGTGGATGCTTCTTGCCCACCTGCTGTGGGGCTATTGGCCCTATCCTTGGTTGTCAGTCCCCCAGGGATGGTCTCAACTGTGTTACACACTTCCTTAGGCAGCCCACAGTTTTTTTTTTTTTTTTAAGATTTATTTATATATTTATTTGGAAGGCAGAGTTACAGAGAGGCAGAGGCAGAGGCAGAGGCAGAGAGAGAGAGAGAGAGAGAGAGAGGCCTTCCATCCACTGGTTCACTCCGCAAATGGCTGCAACAGCCGGAGCTGTGCTGATTGGAAGCCAGGAGCTTCTTCTGGGTCTCCCATGCAGGTGCAGAGGCCCAAGCACTTAGGCCATCTTCCATTGCTTTTCCAGGCCATAACCAAGAGCTAGATAGGAAGTGGAGCAGCTGGACTCAAACTGGCACCCACATGGGACACTGGCACTGCTGGCGCTATGCCACAGTGCCAGCCCCACCCACAGCTCTTGACTGCTTAGCTCAAGGGCCTGGCCATCTTGGCCCAAGGTGAGGCAACTCTGAAGAGGCCACGGTCACTCTAGAACTATCTGTGGCATCAGCCAAGGCAGTCCTTAGGTTTATGTTGCAGCTTCATTTCTTCCTTTGCCCAGAACACTTCTGCCCCTTTTTCCCAGATGTTGATCTCAAGGGCACGTTTGTATGAACATCCCACATGCCAAATGCTGCAGATGGTCCACTTTCCCAGGATCCCAACCCATGGCCTGTTGGTGTTGGGTATAGGTCATCATACTGCTAACCTTTAGCCAGCTGCTGTGCAGTGAGCTGTGTTCTGAGCAACTGACATGAAGTCAGCGTGACTTGCTGAGGAACTCATTCCTGATCACTTTCTGTATCTGTTTCTCCAGGTTTTTCCTTAAAACTGGAGCTCAAGGATTTTATGACTTCATGGGGAGCAACTAAGAGTACTCAGCAGTTGCAGACTGTGCACTGATTTCTCCATAATCTCTTCTCAGGTGCTCAGGATCAGCTGGAAAGGATAAGGAACAGTAAGGGTAGAGATGGCTTCAGGGAGAGAATGGCCAGCCCTCGTTGAGTTTGATTGCTGACTTGGATTGGCACTCCACTGGGTGCAGCGGGGCAGGTGTTACTGGTGCTCTGGGCTTGGCACAGGGAAGCTCATGTGTCTGCACCTATCTGTGGAAGAGCCTGATGCATGCAGATGGCCGAGTGAGGGGCAGCGGTGGCCGAATTAGGAAGCGAAAGTCAAGTATAACTATGCCCCTGTAATTACAGAAAAATTACTGGCTCTTTAGCTGAATTTCAGTTCAGTTGGGTATCTTGTATTTTATGTGAAACTCTAATAAAGAGAAAGAGGGGTTGTTGGAGGGAGCAGAGGGAGTGAGTGGCCATTGAGCCTCAGGATCAGGAATGCTCCTAGAGAGGGGCAGTTGGGCCTGGTTTTCAGTGTTGGACATCATTTGCCTGGTGGTTGTGCAGAGGGAGGAGGCAGAGTCCGTCAGGACCAGAGGCCTGGGGACAAGATGCAGTGCAAGGCCACAGGACTGTCCTCCTGCGGCTGGTCTGGGCTGCCAGGAGAGGAGGGGGAGTCAGCCAGCCCTCATTTCATACCGCAGAGGGTATGCACTCATCCTGTAGTATAAGAAGCTACCCAGAGTTCAAAGCAGGGTCTTTTTTTCCCTTTTCATTGGCTAAATTTATTTTAATTATGAAAAAAATATCAAATCATGCTATAATACATGCTAGCAGTAAAATGGTTAAGTTCACTGTGCCACCCACTGGCGCACTGCTCCCACTCTCCCTGGAGGGACTCCCATGAATTCTCCTGGGAGTGTTTGGAATGCCTTGTGCGTCCGGACGCATGGACACGCATGTTCTGTTGGCCCTGTTTGTCTACTTACTGAGCCACAAGCTTGGTAGCTGTCTGCATGCTGTTTTGCCACTTGCTGTTTCTTCCACTTTGAGTATTTCTTGGACTTCTTTCCATGTTAGTCCAAATAGAGCTCATGGATTTTTTTAAATTTATTTTTTATTTAGTAAATATAAATTTCCAAAGTACAGTTAATGGATTACAATGGCTTCCCCCCGCCATAATTTCCCTCCCACTCACACCCCTCCCATCTCCCGCTCCCTCTCCCATTCCATTCACATCAAGATTCATTTTCAATTATCTTTATATACAGAAGATCGATTTAATATATATTAAGTAAAGATTTCATCAGTTTGCACCCCCACAGAAACACAAAGTGTAAAATACTGTTTGAGTACTAGTTATAGCATTACTTCACATTGGACAACACACTAAGGACAGATCCCACATGAGAAGTAAGTATACAGTGACTCCTGTTGTTGACTTAACAATTTGACACTCTTGTTTATGGCGTCAGAAATCTCCCTAGGCTCTAGTCATGAGTTGCCAAGGCTATGGAAGCCTTTTGAGTTCGCCGACTTTGATCTTATTCCGACAGGGTCATAGTCAAAGTGGAAGTTCTTTCCTCCCTTCAGAGAAAGGTACCTCCTTCTTTGATGGCCCCATTCTTTCCACTGGAATCTCACTCGCAGAGATCTTTCATTTAGGTCTTCCTCTTTTTTTTTTTTTTTTTTCCAGGGTGTCTTGGCTTTCCATGCCTAAAATACTCTCATGGGCTCTTCAGCCATATCCGAATGCCTTCAGGGCTGATTCTGAGGCCAGAGTGCTATTTAGGACATCTGCCATTCTATGGAGCTCATGAATTCTTTTTAAAAGTACATTTGCTAAACTTTTGTCACTGAGTGTCCAGCCACCAAAATGAAGGCAGTTGAATATCAGTTCACAGGTTGTAACTTTTAGGGTGGCTATGGGGATGCTGATTGCTTCAGAACCTGGGCTGCATAAGTTACTCTAAAGAGTTTTCCTGGCTAATGGTTCAGTTTGGAGGTCCCAGCGTCCCCCAATATAGCTGTTTATTATAACATGACCAAATACCATCCCTTGAAAGAATGACATCAATTTGAATTGCTGAATAACTTAAAAGACATGGAATCAACCTAAATGTCCATCAGCGGATGACTGGATAAAGAAACTATGGGATATGTACTCTATGGAACACTATACAGCAGTAAAAAACAATGAAATCCGGGCATTTACAACAAAATGGAGGAAGCTGGAAAACATGCTGAGTGAAATAAGCCAGTCCAAAATGGACAAATATCATATGTTCTCCCTGATCGATAGCAACTAAACGAGCATCTAAAATGATACCCATTGAAGTGAAATGAACACTATGAGAGGCAATGACATGATCAGCCCTTGTCTAGACTGTTGAGGAATAACTTACTATTTTATTCCTTTTAGTATTTTTGTTGTTGTTGTTGTTGTTGCTGTTTGTTCTACATAAGACCACTGGTTGAACTCTGTAATCAATGCACAATCATTCTTAGGCGTTTAAAATTAACAGAAAAGTGATCTCTGTTAAACATAGGAGTGGGAATAAGAGAGGGAGGAGATATATAGGTTGGCACATGCTCACTCGGACTTACCTCCAATGGTGGAACTAGAAATGTGCCAGGGGATTTCAACTCAGTCTTACCAAGGAGGCTGGTACCAACGCCAGCGCACTTGGTAAAGTGATAAGTATAAATACACAACCGATAAAGATAGGGTATGTGTCGATGAGATTTCACAAATAAGACCAGTGTAAGCAAATAATGAAGGATAGAATTAAAAGGGAGAGAATGATCCTGTAGGGGAAACAGGACACACAGCAGACTCATAGAATGGCAGCACTCCTGCCTCAGGATCAACCCTTGGGACATTCGGATCTGGCTAAAAGGTCCATGAGAGTCTCACAGGCATGGAAAGCCATGACATGGTGGCAAAAAAAAACAATCTAAATAAAAGATCCTGGTGAATAAGACCCCAGCAGAAGGAGCAGGCCATCAAGGAGAGAGGCGCCTTTCTCTGGAGGGAGGAAGGAACCTCCACTGTGATATGGCCTTGACTAAACAAGTTCAGAGTCGGTGAACTCAAGGGGCTTCCATAGCCTAGACAGCTCATAGCAAGAGTCTCGGTGATTGCTGATGTCATAAATAAGAGTGCCAATTGTTAAATCAACAACGGGAGTCACTGGGTACATGGTCCCCACGTAGGATCTCTGTCCTTAATGTGTTTTACTATGAAACTTAAACACAACACTACTAGTCGAACAATACCCTATACCTTGTGCGGTTGTGTGAATGCAGCCTGTTGAAATCCTTGCTTAGTATATACTAAGTTGATCTTCAGTATATGAAGGTAATTGAAAATGAAACTCGATGAAGGGCGGGATGGGAGAGGGAGTAGGAGAGGGGAGGGCCACAGGAGGGAGGGAGGTTGCAGGGGGGAAGCCACAACAATACAAAAGTTGCACTTTGTAAATTCACATTTATTAAATAAAAAAAAAACTATATAACAAACAAACAAAAAGAACTTAATACTTTACCCTTTTAGTATTTTTTATGTTCTACTTAAAATTATTGGTTGAACTCTGTAATTAATACACAGTTACTCTTAGGTGTTTAATTAATGCTATAACTAGTACTCAAATAGTATTTTACACTTTGTGTTTCTGTGTGGGTGCAAACTGTTGAAATCTTTACTTAATATATGCTAAATTGATCTTCTGTATATAAAGATAATTGAAAATGAATCTTGATGTGAATGGAAGGGGAGAGGGAGTGGGAGAGGGGAGTGTTGTGGGTGGGAGGGAAATTATGGGGGGGGAAGCTGTTGTAATCCATTAACTGTACTTTGGAAATTTATGTTCATTAAATAAAAGAAAAGAAAAGAAAAAAAGCATATTCAAAATAGCTGAATTAGCATAGAGTTTTTTTTCTAATAATACTGATCACCTATCAGAATTGATATGATTCGTCTATTTCCCTGATTAGGTATTTAAAATCTCTCCACCCCCAGTTTCCCCCCAACCTATGTTGATCTATAACTGAGTATACTTACTCCAGCTGGTTCATTTGTAGCATCCTATGATCTAGTTTCCAGACCTTTCAAATAAATTACTTATTTATATGAAGGGACTGTAATTGACTTTTCGGTTGAGAAACCCAATTCACCCAAGTGGCCAGGGAGAGACATAGTTCATTTTGCTCTATTATCAAATCAATGTTCAAATAATACTTTAAGATTATTTATTTTCCTAAATATAAGAGAAATGTCAAGATTTATTTCCCATGTTTCTTAAATGTCAGAGGAAATTGACCTGAGGCCGAGGAACTTCAGTGCCTGGTGTTTTACAGTGTTCAGCTAAAGGCTTGAAAGACAAAATATTCCCTGCTGACAGCAAGCGTTGCCCTTGTGCACAGCACACTCAGGGTGTAGATGTGAAGGAAACTGGTTCCTGGGTCTCTGGGTCTTCTGGTCTAACTGGAGACATGACAGCAGCAAGGATGAAACCCCTGTGAACAGGATGAGTGAGGCAGGTGCATGAGGAGACATTATCTCCACAGGTTTCTGAGGAGGAGATAAGTCAGACCAGACCCAAGACAAGCCTTGCTTGAGAGTATGGGTGTGAAGTGGGATGATCTTGTAGTGCATGGGAGGCACTGGAGGGATAGGGGCCAGTAGGAAAACCACATCGGTGGAGTCTGGCCATGGTCACTCATCCAGTCAGTCCAGCACACTCAATAGCCATTTTATGAGCACACCAAGGTTATAGGTGCAGTGTCAGGGGCTGGGCATGTAAATCCTGCCAGGTGTAGTCCTTACCCTGAAGGTCACGGTCTGGTGGGTGAGAGGCAGGAGGGCCCTCTAACTAGGGGACAGAGCAGAGACTTTGGTGCAGGCTCTCCAAACTGTGTCAAGTCTGGGCTGAGCCCAGAGGGATGGCTGGGCATGGGGCAGGTTATGATGTTGGCATGGCATTAGAAGTTGGGCCAAGGGCCAGTGCTGTGGCGTAGTGGACACCATGTAGGTGCTGGTTCAAGTCCTGGCTGCTCCGCTTCTGATCCAGCTCTCTGCTATGGCCTGAGAAAGCAGCAGAAGATGGCCCAAGTCCTTGGGCCCCTGCACCCACATGGGAAACCCGGAAGAAACTCCTAGCTCCTGGCTTCGGATCAGCGGAGCTCCGGCCTTTGTGGCCATTTGGGGAGTGAACCAACTAATGGAAGACATCTCTCTCTACCTCTGCCTCTTTGTAACTCTACATTTCTTTCTTTTTTAAAAAAAATTATTTATTTTACTTGAAAGAGTTACACAAAGAGAGGCAAGGCAGAGAGAGAGAGAGAGAGAGGGAGGGAGGGAGGGAGGGAGGGAGAGAGAAAGAGGTCTTCATCTGCTGGTTCACTCCCCAATTGGCCACAACGGCCGGAATTGTGCCGACCTGAAGCCAGGAGCCAGAAGCTTCTTCCAGGTCTTCCACACGGGTACAGGGGCCCAAGGACTTGGGCCATCTTCTACTGCTATCCCAGACCATAGCAGAGAGCTAGATTGGAAGAGGAGCAGCCAGGACTGGTACCAGCGCCCATATGGAATGTTGTTGCTTCAGGCCAGGGGGTTAATCCACTGTGCCACAGCGCTGGCTCCTGTAACTCTACATTTCAAATAAATAAATAAATCTTTAAAACAATAAAAAAAGTAGTTGGGTCAGATCACAAAGGCCTTGGTGAGAGTTGGACTTCATTCTGTGACTTTTGAGAAGTCACTGAAGGATTTTGAAGCAGGGAAGCCTTGTGGTGAAATGTGTATTTTGGACAGCTCATTCTGGTATGGATGGGAGGGGACAAGGCTGGTTGCAAAGAGACTAGACACAGGTGGTGTGGCCTCACTTGTGACGGTGGCTATGGAATGGGTAACGTGGCCAAGGTTGGCAGAGGGTTGAATGGACAGGACTTGGCATCCATGTTGGATAGTGGAGTGGGGGTTTCATGGAGTGTCTGATAGACCCTGAAATCACCCGTGACAGTTAAAAGCCGCGAGGGTGCAGCGAAGGCCAGGAGCAGAACCAGTCTCCAGTGGATGAAGGGGCCTGAGTAGGGTGGTGGAGGGAGAGGATGCTGGAGGCCTCCTTCTTCCTTTCTAATGTCTTTGAAACATCAGGAAGTTTGGTGACCCTCCTCAAATATTCCAGGAGATTATGTACCAAAGGGTTAATTTCAACATTTAGAAATTCCAGCCCTTGTGAAGATCACATGACTTTTTCCTAAGTGTATTCAGGGACTGAAGCAAGGTTTGCTCTCTGGCTAAAACTCTAGCTGACATCTTTGTTCTGAATACTGAGAGATTATTTTTGGGATAAAGACATCTTTTTCTTACAGTTTCAGTTTTGATGCTTAAAGAAGGAAGCAAGCTAGGAAATTATTTGTGAAATTTTCTTTCTGAAACAGATGGCCTCTACCTTATTCTTGGTGACATGTGATTATTTTTTAAAATAACTTTGAGTTATTGGCTGCAACCTTAGACTGACATTGGGAAACAGTCTGGGGATAGAGAGGCCTAGAAACGGGTGGTTTGGCAGGGTGCTGAGAATGAGGGACCTGAGTGTCATGGCACCCTGGTGATTTCTTAGATCAGAGCGTGACAGACATGTATTGCTCTTGGTGCGGAGCCAGCGTGCAATGCGAGAGCAAAGGGCTGGGATGGTGTTAACTGACTTATGTTATAGCCGTAGTCTGCTGTGTGACTTGAAAAATAAAACTTAAAGGTCAAGAACAAAGTTAGTGAGCCTCCCAATGTAGGGAGTAGATAATATTGTGGAGTGTATTTCATAAGATTAAGTGCAAGACCAGTATACTGCTGTGGACTACGTTCCTTGTGAGAACAGTGCTTTTCAAACTTCTACATTCATCAGAACCATTGATGGCTCTTGTTGAAATACAGCTTCCCATTCACTAGGTCTGAGGTGGGGCCTGAGTGCTCCTGTTTCAGACTCCCCAGGGGTCTGCTCCTGCTGCCGCCTGCCTGTTTATGGAGCACATTTTGAATAAGGGACTGAGCCGAGGTTCCTGTCTTTTGGGGCCACAGAGCTGTTTGAAAAGCTGCGGAAAGCTATGGATCCTTGGAACAGTGAACCTTGTGCCAGTACCCTCACCATCCCCACCACGTACCCCAATATGTAGGGTTTCAGGGATGTTGTAACCTTTGGAACTGATCCAGCATCTTCCACTTTGATTTTAGAAGTGGCTGACAGAAAGACGCTTGTATTCTACAACAGCCTTTCAGTCAGTAGCTCTCCTGGTGTTTTCATAGTGTAGATGTTAATTTAAACTAGGCAAGTACACCCACATAGAAGACCCTGATGAAGCTCCTGGCTTTGGGTTGGCCTAGCTCCTCGTGCCCATTTGGGGAATGAAACAGCAGATGGAAGATCTTTCTCTCTAACTCTGCATTTCAAATAAATACATTAATTTAAAAAAGCAATTAGAGATCTAGAAACATTAGGTTGGTGAGTGAGTGAGAAATGTCCTACTGTGGAAATGGAGGAGGGGCAAGAATGGCTTGCGGCCCTGTGTGTGTAATAAATAAATCTGGTGTGTGATCCTCCCAGGGGGCAAACCAGGCGGGCCATGCCTTTGCTGCAGGAAAGTCTACTTTTATGAAGCATTTGTTTCACTGCCATGTGAACACAAGGTGTCCCTGAGGGTGTTCTCACTACTGGCTCCACAGTGGGGGTGTCCAGGATTCAGTGAATGGGATGGAAGCCCTGTGCACACTGGCTCGGAGGTGTTAAATCAGCCAGTGTGTGAACCCACTGGAGCCGAATGGTGTTTCCTGCAGCATGCTCTTGGTTTTAATTGCCCCGGCTGGTATTGTCCCGCCTCTTTTCACTCTGAGGTGGGCAGGATGTTACCCCCAGCTGTTCTCCCTACCTCTGAATTCTGTTCAGGTAAATCCCACGTATCCTGTCATCTCATTTGCAAATGTTTCAGTATGTTAGAGGATGCCTGAAAAGTTAGGATTTTTTTTTTTTAATCATGCTGGTGCTATTAGCACACCTACAATATTAGTAATATTCCTTTATATCATCAAATGTCTAGTCTGTGTTAGCAGTTTCTCTGCATATGTTATCATTTTTGAAAGTTGCTTTTTCCGTTCAGAAAAACCCACTTGGTTGATGTGAATTCTAAGTCTTTTGATCTGTAGGTCCCCCGTCCACCTTTTTATTCCTTGCAGTTTATGGTTAGTAATAAACTGGGTCATTTATCCTGTCGCCCAGACCAGAGCTTGGATTTGCTAATTCCCTCGCTGGGCGATCCTGGCCTGCTGCCACCTCCCCTGTGACTCCTTGTGTGTCCCAGATAGGTGAGGGAAAGGGCAGACCAAGGCACTGGTGTTGGTGCTTGTCAGGGTGCACCCCATGTGTGGCTGGAGGCTATGTTAGCTGCCATTGTGGGCACTCCCGGGTGACATTAAAATGGTAATATCTTTCTTCTGTCATTTCTCCCTCAGTTCTTAGCTTGACTGCCTCTAAAGGAGACACTTCCCTTGATAGCTGTTTGGTTACCCTGTGATTATTTAGGAAATATGGATAAATGTTTGATTCTTTTTTCACCAGTGAGTCAGTTTCTTTGATTCTCCGAAGGGGGGGACTGAGTTTTTATTTTTTTTTAATAATGAATTCAAATGCATAAGAATATTCATGTTCTGTTGCAGTTACTCTTCCTGGTTTCTTTCTTTTTTTTTTTTTTAAGATGTATTTATTTGAAAGGCAGTGACAGAATGAAGGAAAGGGGAGGACAGAAGTTTTTCTTTCTTTTCTTTTTTTTTTTTTTTTTTTTGGACAGGTAGAGTTAGACAGTGAGAGAGAGAGAGACAGAGAGAAAGGTCTTCCTTCCATTGGTTCACCCCCTAAATGGCCGCTACGGCCGGCATGCTGCACTGATCCGAAGCCAGGAGCCAGGTACCTCCTCCTGGTCTCCCATGCAGATGCAGGGCCCAAGCACTTGGCCCATCCTCCACTGCCTTCCCGGGCCACAGCAGAGAGCTGGACTGGAAGAGGAGCAACCAGGTCAGAATCTAGTGCCCTAATTGGGACTAGAACCTGGAGTGCTGGCACTGCAGGCAGAGGATTAACCTAGTGAGCCACGGCACCGGCCAGGACAGAGGCTTTTCATCTGCTTGTTCACTCCCTTAATGCTCATCACAGTCAGGTTGGTCCAGGCTGGGCCTCAAACACATGGGTCATCATCCTCTCAATGCCGAGGTACATTAGCAGCAAATTGGACTGGAAGCGGAATAGCTAGAACTCCAACCAGCCCTCAGATAGGGGCTGACGTGTCCCAAGTAACTGTTTAACCCCCTGCACCACCCTTCTTGCTGTTGAGATGGTTTGACTTTGGCAGGTGGGAATTTATTTCGGTTGGTTTCTGAGGCCTTCGTGCCAGTTTTCTACTGTGGAGCAAATTGCCCCAAATGTAGGGATGTCCAACAGCATTTGTTGCCTCGTAGTCTTTGTGGGTTAGAAGGCCTATCTGGGTCATCCAGTTCAGGGTCTCTAGAGAGGCTGCAGCCAAGGTACCAGCCTGCTCCACCACCACCAGCTCCTGGCTTGACTCGGGGAGCCTGTGTTGCTGACTTGGTCATGGCCTGCTGGTGGGCCTCAGAACCTTGCTGGGCTCCTTAGGGCTTCTCACAGCATGGCACCTTTCTACCCCCATTGCCAGGACTCTAGAAAGAGAACCCAGCAGAATCAGCAAGATAGAAGTCCGTCTCTTCGTAAGTCAGTCTCTGAAGTGACAGAAGTGCTATGTTCTAGTTCTGGTTCTAGGCCCACACTCCAGGAGAGCTGTTCATTGGGAGCCTAAAATTTCCTGCCACAACCCTAGTCATCTCTCATAGCATTCCTGCTGTCTTGTTTGAGGCGATATTCCATATATTTGATTTGAATCATTTCTCCAAGAAGCCCTAAGTTACTTTAGTGGAGAGTGGCATTGAGGAGCTATAATTCAAGCCTAAAGTTCTAGATCATTTTAGTGGACATAGCTAATGGGTATGGGTTGAATATCCCTATCCAAAATGCTTGGGGCCAGAAGGGTTTCTGATTTCTGATTTTAGAATATTTATGCATAATGAGATTTCTTGGTGACAGAACCTAAGTCCAAATGGGAAATCCATTTATGTTTCATATATACCTTAAACACATACCCTGAAGGTAATTTTATACAATGTTTTTGTGTGCCTACATTTT